AATGCACCCCAGGATCCCATTGCCCTTCTTGGCAGCCAGGGCACACTGCTGGCTCATGGTCACCCTGTCGTCCCCCAGCACACCCAGGTCCGAGGGCTCTGCCCCACAACCCGTCACGCTCCTCACCCTGCCCGCGCTCTCCAGAGGACTCGCTGACCTCGTGGCTCTGCCTGCCTTTGTCCTCTGTACGGCTCGAACCCGGTGCCAACGCCAGCCCGTCCCAGGCGGCCTCCCCTGTGGACCCCGGGGGGGTGAACAGCTCGGCCCAAGCAGGGCTGGGAGAGCGGGACTCTGGGGCGTCGCGTGCGTGTTTGGGGAGGGCAGGGCTGGGGTGCTGGCAGCGGGGGTGGGCAGGCTCCTTGCCGCCCCTGCAGCTCTCGCCCCTTCCTCGCGGTTCCCGTGGGCTGTTGCTCAGACGCGGTGCTGAGCGTGGCTGTGAACTCGCACGAGTGGTTAATACCTGGCTCGTAGCCAGGGAGGGGCGAAAAACCCCCCAGAGCTTGCGGGGGACGCTCCAAAATTTGCCGAAATCGCTGGTGAGCTCCTGAGCGGTCCCTCACCCGCGCCTTCTGTCTCCCAGTATATCCCAGTTCCGCAGCCTCTCAGACTGGCTGAGCAGGCAGGCTGTGCTGCAGGCAGCGGGGAGCAGAGCTGCTGAGCTGTATGGAGTGCAGAAAACGAGTGAATCACAGAATTGGAAGACCTGGGCGAGTGGTGGTTGCAATTTTTGTGAAGAAGTGGTTGTCCTGAGTGACGGTCACGTGCACCATCCCTGCTTCCCTCCCCGCCCTGCAGGCAGCCGCGGCAAGGAGCAGAGGTGGTTTGCGTGCTGACTGCTTGTTATTCAAGAAGTAATTACTCACTGCTTGGGTTAGGAACCAGCATGGGCTTATGTCTGTGAGAACGGCGGCTGCAGAACCTTCCGGTGGGAATGTTAAAGTGCGTTTGAAAGGTGCCTTTTGCCCTGACTTTGAAGTCTGCTCTTCTGCTCAGTGCTGTCTCAGCGAGGTTTAAAACATCTGAGCAACACAGCAAGTGGAATAAAGTTTCCTTGGGGTCTGTTGAGGAGGTTTTCCTGGTTCCTGGTGGTGGAAGGGCCTGGCAGGCGCTGCCTCGGAGTGTTTTCTGGCTGCACTCCAAGTACGTTTCCACTGGATTTGTGTTTACTGGTGCGTTTTCTGGGGCAGCAAGGCAACGTCTATTTGGAGGGAGCTTTTTTGCAGTCTCAGGGAGCACACAGCCCCTCATGATTCATTTGCGTGGCTTTTAGCATCCTGGAGATCAGCTATGCAGACCACGAGCCATCAGCTGAGTCAGGGTTGTTGGCTCGGTGTCCTGGATTAGCCTGGGGACCAGATATTTGCCCGATTCGCGTTTCTTCTGCCAGCCCGTGACTCGCTCGGTCGCCAGCAAACATGAGCTGGTTGCAGATGCCCCACGATAGGAACAGCCTTTCCAGGGAGACGCGCTGGGCTGTGGGAGCTTGTC